GTGTTTCTCCTTGTTACTTGAGTGACCATTTGAACAGATGACTGCATTTGCCCTGGTATAGGGACACAAAAATACACGTTGTGTGTCCATTTCTCTATGTTTGTGTTTTGAATACAAAGAATATTTAATGTCTCTCTATATATAAGTATAACAAGAAATTCAGGACCTGAAAATTGCTATGTGTGTGTGCCAGACTGTATAGACTCACCTTATCCTTTTTTAATGCAAAGGGTATGTTGTTAATTTTATAACTTAATTTGTATATATTTAAGGTATTTCAACTAGTCCACTCGCAAAATGAAACCAAGCTATGCTATTAACTAAGGTGAACATCACTAACTATTTCTCTTGCGCTCACACAACCGTATGCAGTTGCGAGAGCTGCAAAACTTTTTCCAAACTTAAGGGTATGTTGTCCAAAAACTTTCCCTTTTTCTATATAACTTAATGTCTAAAGTGAGTGATGTCCATCATACTGAAATATTTCCCCATGCCATTTCTTGTCAAATGTCATAACAAACTTATACCACCCTATGGGCAGCCTCTAGAGAAGTAACAAAGGTAGCAGATGCATTTGTTGGAAGATATATCTTCATCATATGATGTAATAAAAGTGATATTGATTTCATTGTATTGTTGTTATTTTTTATCTGAGTTTTCCCAGAGTGTATGTGGGTGGTTGGAGAGTGCCGCTGGTAGGTCCTTCTACTTTACTTTCCCTTTATTGTTTCTGTCTGTCTGTCTTACTTTTTCTCAGCACTAAATGACCGTTATTGTGTCGATGTTCTTCTCTTTACTTACTAAATTCAAACCAGAGTACGTTAGGGATGGGCAGGTACCGGTATACCCGGAACTCCCGGGTACTTCTGTTACAGTAGGGGGTGTCAGTACCCTCACCAGGTCTCCAGTGCCAGTCCTGAGAAGGTGCTGGCATTATCACAGTTGCTGATGTGCCCTTGGATCTAAAGCCCCAGTTACTGTGCTGTGTGTAGAAGCTGTGACATCAGATGCGTACCACATCAAGTTCAAAATTGACAACTAATAAAATGAGCGCATTAAATCTGGTGAATCCTTGTGAGCAGTTTTGCTTATTTTGATATAGAGCTATGATGATATCGAAAATGAAATCAGTTTTTTGCTGTGACAGTTATAGTTATAATGTTTTTTAAAAATTGTTAGCAAACTTTACTTTAATCTAGAGCTGTGGCAAATTTCAAAGGGATTCTGTGCCCGGGCTTGTCTCTCTCGAATCTGACATAGTTCACGCTGAACGGCTTTTGCTGCCCATGTCTCTCTAGGACTCTCCTTGCTGCCCGCCCCCCGATTTAAAAAAAAAAAAATCACCAACGATCAACGTGCAGTACGATCTGTTTGGGAGGGAACTAAAAGATGCGCCAAACGAGAAACTAGACACACAGAGCCTCTGCTGACGTCATCTATTCTGTCCCGGTACCAGAACTCAATTTTGCCGGTACGCCCAGCATAAGTGTGCATAGCTCCTTAACTATAAAGAGTGTCGTTGGAGCAACTCATCTCTTAACTGATCTGAATTGAGTCTTTGGGGAGGGGGGGGGGGTCTAGTTTGTTTCCCTCCACGCATCCAGTGATGTTGGCGAGAAAGAAATATGAACAGACTAAAACTACAGAAGGCAGTAGTAAAGAAGTTCAACTGAAATTGTTCAAAACAGCCACCCGTTGTCTAGAAAAGTAGCTATCTTAGACTGGTAGATATTTCTGTGTCATTATAATATAAAAAGCACAAGGGGGGAAGCTAAGGGGAAGTGGTTATTTGTACAGGTGATCGTCTTTGACAGATGGCTGTTGTGGCTGGTTCAACAGTACAACCAACCAGTGGTGACCTCTGACCTCCTGTGACCAAGTACATATGTACTGTAGATGCATAGGGACAGTTGAATAAGATGATGAAACATAACTAACATCAGTAGTATACATCCAATGGTTTTGTTTATTGATTGAGTATAATACAACAATGGCAGATAAAAATAAAAGCATCTATAGAAGTATAAAGGGCTCAACAAGTCTTTGTTACCTTTGTATAGACCGTACAAATGTTTTGATGTAGTAGTACATTATAATCATCATAATGATGCAATCAATCTCAGAGGATGTTAAATCTCTTCAACATAACTGAAAGTCCATTATTGTCTTCCTTTAGAACATGCAGTTCATGGCAGGAAAGTTTTGTTTAGATTTATTAAAGTTCTATTTTATGGTGCTTGCATCATAAATTGGTCACATGAGTGCGGCAGATTAGAAGTTTTACTGGTGAGTAACAAACATACAAAGAAAAGGAGGAGGAGAGATAAGACAAAAGATGTTTTGAGGAAACAAGGAGCAAACCACACCAGAGCACCTGCTACTGCTAACCACCCACACTGGCTGGCAGGAACGGTAGTGTCGTCTTTGAATTTTGAGTATAGAGAAGCACATAGACCGGAAACGTCCACACAAAAACTGTCATTACTTAGTTCTGGAGAAAAGTAAGACTGACAGACAGAAACAAGAGAGGGAGGGAAAAGAAAGGACCTTTTAAATGACACCCTCTGACTCTGACCATCAGTTTATCTTTGAAAGAGTCTGCTCTGAATTTTACACCTCCGAGCCATCACAGGACTTAGATAATTATTATTCAACAATTCAACAGGTGGGGTGTTTCAACCCTGGCAAGGCCAACTCGGGCTGAGTAGGATAGGAATACCAGCAGACAGACAGTGATAAACTGATACCAAATACCAGTACTCGATTAAAAACTTCCCCAATGAGGAGTCAAATTCACATACAGTGGTGAAGAGCCTATAATAACTGCTACATCACAGATGCCAGCAGAAACAGAACAACTTAAAACAAAATATGGAGTTGCTCTGGGTTCAGGTGAAGTACAGATTAGTTCTTATATCACTGAGGCTCTATACAATTGATACTAATCTCCGAACTAGGCTATCTGGAGAGAATGTTTGCTCATAGTCATAGAGCTCTGGTGAAAACAGTCATGGACCTGGAAAGCTGGTGGTGGATTTATTCCATGATGGTATGTATTGCTTGAAAAGATGATGAAGAATGCAAAGGCCTGGACAAAGTGGAAACAGAGGACTACAGGAACGAGAGAGATTTTATGCACATTTTGTCCACGTGGTATTATGCACCCCGCATAATGTAGCAAAATTTGATCATTTTTGGCATAATTTCTGATTATTTTCCTTTATCTTTCTTTGTTAAAATCAACAGAATCGCATAAGTTTACATTTTTGGGCTCACTTTGCATAATTTCAGAATTTAAAAAGACGGGGACAGCACATCGGACATTCAGGGACTGACAAGAAAAGAACTAGATGTTGAGTTCTAAACAAAAATGGAATATAACTTCAATGAGGCTGCCTGTGATCTTGGAATGCTGTCTGATGAAGGAAAAGTAGGGAACGAAACAAAAATACACGATCACTATGAACAGGTACTGACTGACATGGTGGGACGTAGACAAACTCTTGTTTTAGTAGAGGTTTTACGGTGCTCGCAACTGCAAAAGGTCAAGGTCATATGAATATGAGCGTCAAAGAATGGGTGTCAACAAAGAAGTCCTTACAGGGAATCGGACTTACTCTGCTCACCTCTCTAGCTTCAGCAGCACAAAGTCTGCTTCGACTATCAAGGCACCCTGGAAATAATACAAATGGATTTCATTCCTGGAAGGATTATAAAGATCTGTAGTGAATGAGACATAATCTGAAAACTAAAAAACCTTCATTCAAGTTATGTACCATGCAATGTTAAACACACACACACACACACATGTATACAATAGTCTTCGTCTGAGAACCCGGTCATCAGGGAGACAGAATAAGAGGGTTCTTAGGTGGTAGGTACATTTCAAAAGGCACAACTACAATACAACTCAGTTCCTACCCATTAGCTACCCCTATTTATTATTCTATAAAATAACGACTTATGTGCGATAAAGACGCCTTGAGGGAAGATCGAGAAGTTTGCTTATTTTTAAAAAAGAAATTAAAAAAGAACTACTAGAACACTGAGGGAAGCCTACCTTGGACCCACACACTGACTGATACTGCCACCCACAGTGTGTAATTTACAATGGGAATGAACATAGAAGAAGTGTCACTCTTGAGCTGAATGTCAACTCTATCTGGATCACAATAACATTTCATGACGATTGTTGACCCAGCCAACAACAGACTTGGTACATAAGGAATAACACAAGCGAGTCATCTCAGTAAGACTGAATCTGAACATCATGAAAGTAGAAAACAAATTCATGAATAAGAAATAAAGTGGTTTTGGCACCTCACCAATATACTCGTTCACCATTCAGGCAAGACCTCAACATGGTATAAGTTACCATAGCAACATGTTGCCATTATATAATTGATTTTGCTCAGTTGAAGTAATGAAACATGTAATGTAATAGTCCCTATTTGAACAGTTTCTCTCCCCTCATCCTCTTTATTCTTGCAAGCATTACGATCATCAAGACGATCATCATTTGGTACCACCAGCACATTCCCAATACATGCATTTCTGCAAGAATATTGGCTTACGGGTCTCTAATCTTAGACAACCTAGACAGGTCTGTAAAAAGATAAAGAAAATTCTAACTAGAACAGACCAATACTAAACTAGTGGAGTGCCCTGTGCCCTGGTGGAGATCTTGCCTCCAGATATGGCCGAGTACATCCTACTAATTCTAAATAAAGCTGAGATCTTTTGCCGTCAACACGCCAATATACGGGTATGTGATCTACTACAGTCTAGCACGCACATCCGAAACATGCACACAGTGGACAGATTTTCCGGTCTTGACTGTTTCTTACATGTACAAGTATTTCTTAGTACTTAAAACATCATGTACATCACGAAAAGATTTCCACATCGCAATGATTTTTCAATGTGCATGTTAGACTGTAGTTCTACATATAAGACTCTATACCAATATCCCAGAAACATCTAGGCAGGAAGGTTTCATAGCTTTTGCAAACTGAAATTTCGTTTTTAATGTCGAGACAGGTACATACAACCACAAAGTTGCAGACCATATTGTGGTTCATATCTCACATCTTGTCATGTCATAAATGCTGAGTCATGTCTTATCAAATTTATCACACACAGTAGGTCAGTGACCGACAGAAAAGATACCGTAGCAAATGCTAGTAATGCTGCACACGTTGAAAATATTTTGCTGAGTCTCTACCCATTGTCATGACATTCTGAGCAACAATGATTTGTCTGTCTCTACTTCTTGATCTTATCTTTCTGAACGGTCAACATTTGACTAATGTTAGACACATATATTACAAAACGGCACTTGGGTTTGCACTGTAGTAAATAATACACAAAGGTAAAACTTGATGGACGTTGAACACAACGTATTCCTGAGACAACATCGCGATATCCCCCTGGTCTCCAGGCTTGTACAAACGTCCAGGGCTCTGAAACACAACAGACCAGGAAAAATGATATATATATATGTTATTGTTATATAATGATAGAACAAAATACGGAGCTGAAGCTGTCCAAGTTGGCCACTTATTGTCTAGGAGAAAAGTTCTTGTCTTAACACTCTGCCATCACAAGGCTCATTCATATAGTAAAAACCCTTGCCATCACAAGCATTTTGGGGGAAATCTAAAGAAACTGGGTGGTAAACATCGCCGATCTGTATTTTGTGACGGGAGCGGAAGTTCGGCGTTTTTGCCAACCAGCGAGATGTGACGGCAAAGCGTCAAACGTTTGGATGTCTTTTTTTTTTATAGTAGAGGGTTTTACGGCACTCGCAACTGCATAAGGTCATATGAGCGCCAAGGGGTGGGTGTCAACAGAGAAGTCTTTACAGGGAATCAGATTTAGACTGCTCACCTCTCTAGCTTCAACACCACAAGGTCTGCTTCGACTATCAAGGCACCCCGGAAATAGCAGGTCACATGAGAGTGACAAACATATAAGAGAAGTAGAGGAAAATGACAATAGTAAGGATCAGGAAAGAAAAAGCAGCAGTTCCCTGTTGTAGATTAGGCACAGTTATGAGCGTGACATGAGTCAGCCCATTTACAATTCTACTATGCTTGAACGAGAAATTATGTCCCCCCTTTGGGAATGGCCTAAAGACACTACAGTCAGTGGCACTGCCCCGGGGGGTAATGTCTTGAACAGTGTCATTATAATTATATAATAGTATTAAAAGAAAAAAAAACTAAAGTGGAGAGATGGGAAGTGGTTGTTTGTACAAGTGACTGTCTGTGATAAATATGTGGCCGTTAATTAACTGTGCATCAAAACTTCTGTCACAATAAGTGAAATGCACTGTCGTTCGTAACTACTGGCAGAGAAAAAGTAAGATATGAACATATACTACAAAATAAAGAGAATAATATTCACATAACACACAAAAACCATCGTACAACCCATGGGGCTGAGGAGGCGATTAGAAACAAAATTGAGAAAAAATGCAACATGTTTTGAGTTATCAAAAACATTGTTATGGCTTGGTCACATTTCTTGACCACCATTATGATGTCATGTTATTATTCCACAAATGCCAAGAATAATTCTCATTAACTGGGACTTCTTTAAATTCAATGACCAATTTCAAGGGACATGTGCCATTCTCAGGCTTCGTACTAAAACAGGGCTTCGGCATATATATGGAGAAAAAATACCCTCCAGAGATAAAGAATTTAAAAAGATACAGTGAAGTAAATGTACTTACAATGATAGAGTCGTAGTTTTCCCCTGGTGATTTCCTTGTTCTGTCATATCTCATAACTGTCTCCACCTTGCCTAGGCCGACCTTGACCTCCAGTAGTTTGCCCAGCTGTCAGAGTCAGAGTCAGAGCACAAGTTTACGACAAAAGGTGTACGTTAAAAAGTTGTCAACAATGAAGAGGAAGTAGGCCTACATGACGGGAATACCAATTTCTCATCTATAAACACAGAATGATTTTAGATTACTAATAAAATTATTACTATCATTACTGGTATTATTGTTATTGTTATTATCATTATTGTAAAAAAATATTAGCCAACATAGCTTCTCTGAAATTCTGGATGTGAAAAGGAATGCAAACTGTACAGGTTCTCTGCAACAATCCTTTAAAAAAAAATACATATGTTTACTGTTTTAGCATCCTAAAACTTAACTAGGTCTATAATTCATAGATTAAAAGTGTATGAAATACAAACGCACAAAAAAGAAAAACATGATGAATTAATAAAAAGGAAACTCACGTCAGAAAACTGGGCTGCTTTCGAGGGATATTTCGAAAAGTAAAGCCCCCTGCCAAATTCACCATGAGTAAAATCTGTTGAATAGAAAAAAACCTAGATGGATGGAGGGAAGATGTTTCTTAATTTAAAAAGGTGCCTTTCCTCTTACACCAGCATTTTTATGGTGAAGAGGTCAGGCTCTTTGCAGCTACACATGACATGAAGCGCATGAAATATATACATGTGAAAATATGTAGGCCTACACAATGTGATACAATAAGATACAATACAACAGAAAAAAGGCTGGTTGATTGTAAATTTTTCAACGGCCCTATCACTTATCACCTGTTACCATAGCTGTTTAAGTTTGTTAAAGCCCCACTCCTTGCCACAAAAGTCGAAGAGACTTGTATCCTAAATCCTAATTGAGTTGATATAGGGGCATAAAACATTTAAAATTTCAAAAAAGGAAAGAAAACTCAGAAATTCCCAAATAATGATATATATTATATTGACAGTTGATAAAGCCAAGCATAAAAAAGGCCAACAAAAAAAAAAGCCATACCTTCTTCTCTAAAGCCTTCTTTCAGAACCTGAGACAGCCGGCTTGGCTTTTCTAAGGAGCCACAGTAGTAGAGTTCTGTCATCATGGATGGGTCGTGCATTGCTGCCATACATCCTTCAAACTTTGCTCTAAGAGTAGGGTTGTCTCGTGCCTGGAAAAAGTAGCCTCACAACACTGAACGTAAGAATAAGACCATATGTTCTGCAATTGCGTTTGTTGTTGTAGTTGCTTTTGTTTTTTGCTTTATTTGTCTTTTTTGTTTTTGTATTTTCCCTGTTCATTACATGTCAGACTACCCACTTTCACTTACCTCCTACAGTAAAGTTAATTCAAAACAAAATCTGCAGGACCACTGGATTTTCTTTGGTTTAGCTAGGTTTTCGGTTTAGAGAAAATGCTCAAATAGAAGATTAAAATAAGGGTTTTTATTTTCTTGCGTTTTACCAACGTTTTCGGATTAACTGCGTTCGGTTTAAGCAGACTCCAGTTGACATGACTACTTTTTAATGTCATGACTTAGTGTGTTCTGCCATTTGGTATTAGTTTTAGTCACTTTTTTTCCCGTGAGTTCTTTTACATCATCAGACAACACAAGAAGGATTTCTCTCTACCAATCTGGCAGAGCAAAGCGGTTCTGTATACTTAACAATCAACAGGCAGGAAAAATAACTCTCAGTTAAGTGTATTACAATCAGAAGTTCACCTGAAAATTTATAGTGTCCTTCTGGTGGAATAAACAGTCTCAGATTTTAGCTTTTTGCGTACAGTAGAGTCCGCTTAAAATGAAATCTGAGGGACTGCCAGGTTTTCTTCACTTTAGCCCCATTTTCGGTTTCGGGAGTTTGCTAAAAAAAGAAGTAAGTAGATTGGGGATTTTATTTTTCTTCCGTTTACAGCTATTTTTAGATTGACTGTGTTCAGTTTAAGCAGACTCCAAAGTATTTGTCTGCTGTATGTCTTATAAAAAAATTGATAAAAATATCTAGAGCGTTGCATTAGACCAAAAATCCTAGTACATTAACCTTCAGAAAATGGTCAATCTTTAAGTAGTATGGTCAAACACAGATATTTTGAAAATGTCAAGGAAGGACAAATGTGTACAACATATCTGTAATTCAAGTAAAAAAAGATGATAACAAAAAAGTTGAACCTGCTCTAACAGCCACCTGTCCATGACAATCCCCTGCACAAACGACCACTTCTCACTTAGCCATAACTGTGACTTACCTTCATTATAGATGTCACTGAATACCGGACCTGGATCGATCGATCCATTTCCATTCCTTGGATAAAACGAGAGATGATCTCACTTGATGTTGGCACTGCTTGGTCTGTTCGTTTTGGGGGCGTGGCTGTACGGCAGTCTTGGAAAAAAAGATATCACAAAAATATAAAAAAGATCAGAGAATTTATTAGAGTTGGACGCATACTCGGTTCTCATACAAATCTATATCCCACAATTAAGGTCTTTGAGTTTTGCATAAAAGATCAGAAGGCTGAAGTTTTCTCCAACGACACTTAAGGTGCCAGTCTATGACTTCTTTCAACACAAACTTTCTCAGCATGAAAGAACATAAAACAGAACATGAGAATAGCATTTGAACCTTCTACCCCTGTCTCTAGATCTATACCTTTGTCAGTAGAGGTATACATGTGTATTTTTTCTGAAGTTGTCTCTTTGACTTTGACAAGGGTAATAATAATAATAATAATAATATAACAATATATAACATTTATATAGCGCATTTCCAAATGGGTATTGAAAAATGAACGGCGGAAAAAATGTTCAACTGATGACAGTGATATAATGGTTAGGCTGTATACCACTGTGCACAGAAGACACGAGTTTGATTCTAGAGTGAAAAGTTAAAAAAAATTAAATATCTCTGTCTGTCCTCTGGCTTAGTTTTAGTGCAGTAAGAGTTTTATGGCGCTTGCACCACAAATTTTACAGGTCATATAGATAAATGCTGAAATTAGAAGTGTTCCAAGAGAGTAACATAAAAAGAGAAGAAGGAGGAGAAATAAAGATGATGGACGTTTGATAGGAAAGAAGCACAAACCACACCAAAGAAGCAGCCAACCGCCCACTGCCTTGCCAGATATTGTATCTCACTCAGCCTGAGTTGCATCAATAGGGGTGCAAAACACTGACAAAAATACAAAAAATACAAAGATTTCAATTTTCTCTCACCACTAGGAGGCGGTTTACAAAGCTTCTCAACTTGAGACTCCAGCTGTTGTATCAGTCCTGTTGTCTCCTCATCTTTGTCGTCTGGGAACAGAAAACTTCTAATTTTCAGTCTCGACAAATCATCATCACCACAAGCTATGACTCTGGTTCCCTTCATGTGGGGAAAGGATTTTTAAAAATCAAATATCTTCATCTGTCTGTCCCTGTCATTTTATGCAAGAAAAATTCTGAAATTATGCCAACTGAGCCCAAAAATGTGAAATTATGCGTTAATTTTAACAAAGAATGATAAAGGAAAATAATAAAAAATTAAGCAAAAAATGATCAAATTTTGCTAAATTATGCGGGGTGCATAAAACCACAGGGACAGATCTGTCAGCTGAAAACTTGTACCCCTCTCAGCCCCATGTTGGCCCTAGCAGGCAGGGTTGAAACAGTTTGCCTCTATAACGATCTAAGATGTGTCGATGCAGGCTTCAAACATGTAAACAGCTCTCACTCACTGGTACAATGTTCTATCTTTTAAACTCACCAGCATTATTTTCCGGCCCTGTTGCGCCTGAGAAAGTCTTGGTGACAGCTTCCAATCGTAGCTCTGTCATCTCTTTTTCTGAGGTCCATAAGAAGAGAGAATGAGTGGTGGAGGAGTAGGAGGCAAGATTGCAATACTGAAATGAATACAATTCCCATTGTAAATCTCACCCCTCCTCCCCCTTTAAAGGATAATTGAACAAGCACAAACCATCTGAAAGAGAAAAAAGTGTGTGAGAAGTTGAGAAGTAATAACAAAATGACAAGAGATTACACAGGCAGGCACAATATATAGATTGAGCACGCATGTCAAGAGAGAGGTATTGAAGATAGAGAGAGACATGAAAAACTCAAACATGCTCATATAAAATCTTTCCTTCTCTCTCCCCCTCTCTCTCCCTCCTCTTTCTCTCTCTTTCTCTCTCTATCTCTCTCGCTCTCTCTCCCTCCCTCCCTCCCTCCCTCCCTCCCTCTCCCTCCCTCTCTCTCTCTCTCTCTCTCTCTCTCTCTCTCTCTCTCTCTCTCTCTCTCTCTCTCTCTCTCTCTCTCTCTCTCTCTCTCTCTCTCTCTCTCTCCCTCTCACACACGTACCCACAAACACACACATATAGGCATACAAACATACGTATAATCATATATATGTGTAAACTTAGGTAAAGAAAATTTAAAACATTCATAAAGTAAACAAAGACGTCAACATAAGCCACTCACCCATCAAAAGTTTCTCCTTCCTGGCTCTGTCACTGTCACAAATCAGCTTGTTCATCAGATCTGTCTGGGTTTTGACCTACCACAACAACAAAAAAGATTAACACAATCTGAAAGGGACTCAATAACTTAACTCTCAATAAAAAGGAGGGCTATATCACGTTTGTATGCGACAAGTTTTACAATCTCATTTTTCAGTATCAGAAGTTTCCTTAAATCTCTGCTCCGGTCAAACTTGTTTGCATCAGTAAACACCAAATCGAGTACGGTACACGCCAAGCAAGAAACATACATTTTTATTACTGAAAACATGAATTTGCTGGGGTATAGTACATTTTTGTAATGACTGTAATTAAGCAACTTAGCAATGTTCCAGTTCCTCTAGAACAGCTTCGCAAATTGTAGCCTACTGACAGTGCAGGAAGGAGGAGATGGGGATGGGGGGGGGGGGGTATTTTTTCCTCCGAGTGGGCTTGAGAAAATCACCCATAAAAGCTTCAGCTATTCCCAAATATTTGGCTAATTTTTACTTGGCTTAAAAAAAAAAAAAAATGCTCATATATAAAAAAGTGCTAAAAAAAAATAAAAAATGAAGCAACCCCTCCCCCACATACACACACAGATATTATACCCTGTATCACCTCCATAGAAATGTTGGGTAACATGAAATCTTTAAGCAGTAGCACTGATAAAGTCACCTACCAAACATCTGAGCTGTAACAACACCGATAAAGTCACCCATCAAACATTTCTACTATAGCATCAATAGAGTATGGCACCGATTAAGTCACCTACCAAACATTTCAGTTGTAAAATTTCATTCCGTAGTCTCATCAAACAGCAGAGATGTCCCTGGTAAGCTTCTTTGCTCTTAGCTTGCCTGAAGTAAAAGACAGAAGAAATACTTATACATTTTCAAAACAAAAAGAAAATATACTTTTTCTCTCATTTCACTTCCATGACACGAAGGGAAAAAAAAGAGTAAATAAAGGATTAGCTAAAGTTAACCAAGTACTTAGTAGTCAAATAGAGGTTCTCCTACATTTGGAATCTAGTATGTCCAGCAATGACACACATCTATCACAAGTATGAACAACAAAATTGACCATTTAGCAATATCACTTGAAATAAAAAGCAAGCAATAAAAAAGAGACAGTGCCATCAAGTATACGGTATTTTCCTCTTTACGTATAAAAAAACAGAATCATTGTTTCACGAAATTATAACGAGTATAATGTGCTGACCACAAGAATCAAAGTACCTACCAAGACTTCAATTCGTGGTCAATATCGTACAGGTCTGGATCCATGTCCCTTGTGATATCAGTGTACAGAAGTGAGTGACCTGCAAACAGTCACATACATGATCAGTGATCAAGAATTAAGAAATGACAAGGCATTTGTCATCACACTGTAATACACTTTCGTGTTATCAAAATGTTTCTATTTTGAAGTAGCCACAGCGCTGAGACAATGAAAAATCAATTAACACAAAAAAAAAAAAGAGAAAGAGAAAAACAGAATTTTACGAGATGGAATAATGCAAAGATGAAACTGCAGCAGCCTGTGAGAGAAATTTCACATATTCAACAACCTCACACCCTCCTCCTGGGGAAAAAAAACTGTGAGTAAGAAGTTAGACAGCCTTAAAGCCTTATTAAGTGTCCCTGGGTGTTAGTCTTCTGGCTCTTTTAATATAATCTGTGTCATATTCACAGCTTCATTGCTTCAAAAAAGACTTTCATACTTTTGTATGACAAAATTACTTTCATAACACTAACCTGAGAATCCAGGTAAGAAACTCATCAGAGTACAATTTGTGAAGGCATCTGCCAGCTCGCTGCGGAAATAAAAAACATATTTTCAAAATCATCCCCTGATGTCACTGGATAGCTATAAAGCAAATAAAATCTTCTTGTTAAAGTTATAAGTAGTTTTTTCTACATATATGTTTATACATTTGGTCAATATTTTGCAGCTGATAATGGAAAATCTGTACAATAAATAAAAGGTGCCTTAAGTGACAGAACTTGTAAAGTGACCATCAAAAGTAAATTATATTTACTCACTTTTCACAAAAATGCAAGCAAAACAGCAGACACATAAAAAAAACAACTGGATTCTAATAGCAGTTACATTGAAACATAATATTACTTTTATAATTGTGAGAAAGTAAAGAAATGTCCATTTCTCAATTGAGAGAACATTATAGTTATCTTATGCCCTGTGTTTGTTTAGCCCTATCCTGCTAACCAGCTGGTAAAAAATGCAAGGCTATTATTATATGTGTATTGATTTCTGTAGAGTTAATCAACATCTTGGGAGAAAAAAAAAAGAATTCACCAAGAAACCACAGCAAAATTAGTTCAAGTTGATGAAAAACCCCCAATACATTTACAAAAACCACAGACAAAGATTAAGTTGCATCACCTCCACTTGCTATTCAGCACTGTGTCATCAGAGAAGCCAAACTTTCTAAAGAAATCGACTGCTGAATTGTCGGCATGAACAACAACTGCTTCATGTTGGCCGACCACTGTAGGTGATAAACATTTCTAGAACAGAAAAAAAAAGAAAAAAACAAAACAATACGTAATACAATTGATCCAGTTGTCACCATTGCCCTCTCAGTACCTTCACCATCATCATCGACATCCTCATTCTTTCATTGTGAATGGGTGGTTGACAGTTGCTCTGGTGTGGATCGCTCCTACTTATTAAACGTTTATCATTCTTATCTCTCCTCCTTATCTTAATAATTCACTTGTAGTAGCACATCTAACCTTTGGCACTTATATGACCAATATGCGTTGCAAGTGATGTAAAGCATTAACTAAAACTAAAAATATGCATATTGTGATTATTGTCAATGTCATTATCATCATCACTCTCTCATTATCTTCATCATTATCATCACCATCACCATTATCATCATCATCCTCACTCATTCATTATCCTCATGTTGAAGTCACAGTCCTCACTCTCAATACCAGCCCCACTTTTATTTAATTGTCTTTATTATTATTACTCTCAACATCTTCACCATCAACATCAGTATCATACTCACAGAAAGCAGGTATCGACCCATCCTATACTTCCGATAGCGAGGTCTGACGCTAATCAGGGTCAAGTGTATCACTCTCTCCTTGTGTTGTCTGTGGGGAGTGAGAGATGAAGTATCTGTACTTGGTACATACTGGTATATTTTTTATAAATCGCTTGTTACATGTATTGTTCTCAGTGTAATGGGCAAGAAGGATCATCCACTTCACAAAGCACTTCATGACAACAGGAGAGGCAGAATCAAAAGAGGAAAATCTTGGATGGCAGAAGCAGAGGATTCCCTGAGAAAAATCTTTATACCTGAAAGCCTACCACTAGGCAAAGAATGGGAACAGATGACAGGAGAATACAGGGACCTCACCAAGGTCAAAATAAGCATGGGCAGAGACAGAAGAAATGTTGCGGCTTCCATCAACGAGAGCGATATCAACGAGATTGTTGACACAAACTCAAAAGCAGGGGATCCTATATAATTTATACAGATGGTTGAGTGAAAAGAGATAGCCAGCGAAGAGGATGGGGATTTGTTGCATTCGTCAACAATAAAACCATACACAGTGCATCTGGAGCCTGCAGCAGGGCTACATCAAGTATGCGAATGGAAATTGAAGCCATCACGAAAGCACTTGATTGGATGACCCAAGATCGCCCCCACACAACCCATGCTGTTCTTATCACTGATTCCATGTGTACCCTCAGAAGGATCGAAAAGGGTTTCCTGAGAACAGAATGGATTCAAGCTATCGAACCAACGCCTTTACGATCGCTCATATGGATTTTCTGCCCTGGCCATGCAGGTGTTAGGCAGGGGAAATGAAAAAGCCGACAGACTGGCTGGGAAGGCCACCTCAGTTGACAATACGGTTCAACCAGATAGGGTCGAGATCCTGAAATGTCTCTCTCGCCAGCTGATTGAGGAGGAAGATAGGGAGGCAGAGGCCAGTACTACCGTGGAGAGGATGATGCTTTTGGGAATACAAAAAGGAAGCGGAAAATCTGGCATCTTTTCAAGAAAGAAGAAAAGAACGTTCAACCAGATGTGCACTAGCACAATCAGTGGAAGGACCCTCAGCAACATTTTGGAGCATCAATGGACATGTCCGGAGTGCAGGGATGTTGCTTCCTGAAACAATGAACAATGTATTGTTCTTTCAAACAAGACTGGGATTTATGCCATTTATTTTAAATTAACACACATATTTGCTCTCACATATGTGCACACACACACACACACATTCAGACACTTTTGCCTGCAAATCAGTGAGGTGCACATGGGTGTGGTCAGTAATTTTTTTGTAAGCCTTTCTATTTAATTTGCTAAACAAACATTGATTACTTTCATGGAATAGTAGATAATATTCTCTCTGATAGTTTTGTCTCCAAACGATAAAAGTACCTAATTTTTAAGTTTGTGAAGACATGCATCATAAGTCTCCTTTTTCTAAAGAGCTCCTTAAGTTGCTAGAGCTGCTTGAAAGACTTCTTCAAGCAACACAATGACAACAGTTGTGACTGGTTTAAACTACAGTTGCAGAGAAGTTTCCATTTGCCGCTTCTATTTATTCTATCTTAGAGAACAATGTACACTCACATGAACTTTTTTTCGAAAGTGGCACACGCTAAAAGTCTGTTCTCAATCCCGATCAGATTAGGAGACAAAATTCCATCACAGGCATCTCTGTTCTTGCGTCTTTCAATGGCTTTTGTGATAAATGTTTGGATTCCTTTGGAATAATCTTCCTCCTCCTCACTGCAGAAAAATGGGGAAAAAGAGAAAATACATTTAATAATGATAGTAACATAACATGACGTTTGTATAGCACTCAACTCCAATTGAAGAACATGTGTTCTGAACGTTTTACAAATACCATAGTAGCACACAAATGGTATGTCGGGTTCTGACTAAAATTCTAGACACCTCTTTAATCTAAAATTAGTTGACTTTTGAATACATCAAAAGATTTGATGTAGGCTACCCTTTACAAGAAATCAAATTGCACATCCTTGGAAAATGGAAAGTCATCAAATTGACCATAGACTGGTATAATATTACAATGATATACTATTTAAAAAAATAATCGATAGTGTTACTGTCTTCACAATATATGGTGCCTGAAAAGACGGAAAAGAAGAAAACACCTACTCTTCATCTTCTCCCTCCTCATCCTCTTCCTCCTCCTCTGTATCACTGAATACTTCAGTGAAAGCACCAACAGATGCTTCCTCCTCAATCAAAACATCTTTCTCAGCATCAACTCTTTGAGACCAGTCCAAATTACTTTCTTTGTCTTGCTCTGACTCTTTTGACTTAGCTTCCTTACTCCTTGCCCTCTTCTTCACATTTCGCTCTGTCATCTCCATGGCTGCATCTGTACAGTGAATGAGTAAAGATTTGAAAGATTATAAAAGTATTACAGGTAGTTCACAATTGACCAGCATGCTAGTCAAACCACAATTAGGTTATTTGAATTAAGAAAAGCATATCAGCATAACATACAGCCGTAAAACGCAAGGAAAAAGCAAGATAGACATAAAGGAAAAAGGGACGGTAAAGAAGTAGGACCTCCCAGTGACATCCCCTAATCACTGGCTGTCATACAATAAAACCTGCTTTAACTACCAGAAATCAGACAAGCCAGACAGAGACAGGCAGGTCAGGGTCAACAGTCACAAGAGTTCTGTTTCCTGAAGCTAGAAGTCATGTAACACACTAAAGGGCTGCTGAATCCACCAACCCATGCCACAAACACTTATACTAGGTTTTAAAAACTGCTCCATCTAAAAAAAATTTAGGTGACACTATAATATGTACACCCAAGAGCTATAATGAAGTATGTAAACAAGTTAAATACAAGTGTTAAGTAGGGTAGTCAGATTTTGTAAGTGGATTGAACAAAATAAACGTGTAATGTTGCCTCACATATTAAGATATTGTATGAAGCATACCCTATACACAGGTGGACAATAGACATCTCCTAAACTTTGTTCAGTTAACAGCAGCAACGTTAATGAATACAGGAAATAAACCAAACTTATGACACAATAAAGGATAGATTTTCAAACTGAGGAATTAGCTGAGTTGCTTCAATCTCACAAGTTGTGCAACTGTTACACTCACAAGATAAGGCGAAGATTAAATCAAATAATAAAGCTTGGCATATTAACTGTACTAATTCTGTGGATGAATTACTTTACAAACGCAATTGTACCCAACACTGAGAAGAATTGTGACATGACACGGAGGAATTAAGCGCTCATCAATTTTTGGGCACTTGAATAGCAGTAATAGAGATCTTCATGATTGAAGGAAGTGGGGGCCCCCTGGTGTTAGAGACAAAATCGTCGAGAAAACGGCCGCCAAAGTTTGGTGACTTCAAAAGCTGTAGTGTCCCTGGAAACTGCAGATTTTAATTTTCTGTGCCTTTGATCAACGTTTTCAGTAAAATCCACACAGGAATGTGTTGTTAAATGGAATGGCAGCAAAGATGTTCAAGAGCCCATAACCTCCCCCCCCAAAAAAAAATTAATTAAAAAATAGAAAAATCAATAAAAATCGCTTAACAGACAGAAAAATGTTTGTTTCAGCAATTTCTTTATTTTGACGAGTGCCTGATTTCACCACAATGCAACACAATTACCTTTAACATCTTGAACCAATACAATAGTCCGAGCCCATTTTGAGCAGACAGTGGCATACAGGGTTTCAGTGTCCATATCTGATAATGAAATGTCGTACAGAGCAACCACAGCATGCAAAAGATCCCTGTTTGAAACCTAAAAGAAAGAATACAGAACGATTTATTATTGTTTTCCAACAAATGTAATTGCTCTTGTTCTTATTGCTGAGGTATACATAGGCCTGGCCTAGCTTCCAGCAAATCAGTATATTAATATTGCAATCATATTGTGTCAGGTACATAAATCAATAAACAACAAAATGTACTCTGCATGCCTGTGCATAAAAATAAACTCTAAAGTGTTGGAAGAACAAAATCACGAATAATAGCCTAGGTTGTCCAAATCATAGATTTGAAAAGTGGGATTACATTATCAGACTGAAATATTATATATTCCTTATTATGTTGACAAGACATTAACTTATTCTTGAGCTAGAAGTCTTAAATTACAGTTAGTTATAGCCAGAATCAGGCTGGACATAATGGACCAAGTGTCTAGAATAACATCTTTACTGATTGAAAATAGCAAAGCAACCATCAAAAGTTCTTTAAAGTCTTTTAAGTAAGTTCAAAAGCATGTAGGCCTATCTTTTATAATATAGAATTATTCAGAATTGCATTTGGAATAAACCTACATGTATGTCTTGTCTTGAGTGAGTTGGTAGTTTTTGTGTAATTTAAAAAAAAACAACAATCGTGATTTCGGAGAGAAAAAACATTGACAATTTAAATCTAGATCTAGATTCTAGCACTGAAAAATATTGATTTCTCAATAACAGAGCAATGGCAATTTGAGTCCAATAGTATCAATATTCTAAAGAAGAGTCCTATCTATACATTTCTTTAGTAGGCCCTATGCAAAAACGATACATTTTGTTGGGTTATTACTAAGACTGGTGTCTGGGCAATAATTTGGACAACGCTATAAACAAAGTCGCACTAACTTCGAAATCACATTTCAAAATTGAATCAAAACTTCTGATTTTCGGTGGAAACTCTTGACCCGAAAGTCAACGTACCTTTATTGTAACATAGATAGGTGGATTGGAATAAAATCTAAGCTAGAATTATAGGATGGTTCGCGAACCGCCGGGGGCGGCTTGCTGCAGCTGTTGTAGCGAAGTCACTTTTAACCAAGCCGTTGCCCACGGATCGGTGTAGTGAATGAGTTAATCTGTTAAGGAGGAAATGAATGTAGCATAGTGGGCCTTAGTCTTAGTTTGTGATAGGCAGGCACTCTGGTCTGGTTTGCTTCTTCTTTTTTCTATCATTAACATCTCGTCCCTGTTGTTAGTCTTGAATAGTCATAATTCATGTTGGCCTAGATCTATAATATTATGTTGATGGAACTTCCATTGGAAGTATGCACCTCTAATCTTCTGCACATAAATGATTAGGTGTGTTGCTTCAGCTCTTATGTTATGTCTTAAAAGACTAATTTATGTTCCAAGTGAAGTAAGATGTTTACTAAAATTAAACTTAAATGTAGCAGTAGATTCTAGATCTAGAATCTAGATTCTAGATCTAGAATCTAGATCTAGACCTAGATCTATATCTAGATCTAGTAGCGTACCCCTGAGATCACACCATTCATGTCGTGGACATGGCCAAGCTGCAGCACTCGGAGAAAATCTATAATAATCGGTGTCGCTGAGATCCGTTCTCCAAATCTGTTCTTAAATTCAACTTTTTCATCAAGTTGGGAGCCAAGCCTGCCAAAACAATCTAAATCTGCGTCTGGCTGCTTGTCGGTATGTGCCATTTCTGACGAAAGTCTCTCCGATGGAGAACATGCTGTTGTATTTTCCGCCATCTTGTCAACAAGCTAGCCCCGCACCGAATCGCCAAGCAGACGGCACGGGCTTACAGTTCCTTGTCACGGGACATTCCAAACTAAAGAAACGCGCAACTCGCGATACTTTTATTCACATACTCGCGTTACTTTTTTTTGTCGTTCTTTCGTTAATAGAAATGCTTCAGGTACCGTATCTCTAATCTCTAATGTCCACGTCTCTTCTTGTGTAGACATGTTTAGCATACTAGCCTTGCCTATTCTTTGAGTGAGTAGGCTATCGGCGGCTATCGCAGAAGAAGCGTCGGTAAGGGGCTGTTCAAATATAATCCTACACCTTATTTGGGACTTTTCGACCCCCCC